AGGACGTGACCCCGGCTACTATTCGCATACGCCCCTTCAGACTAGAAACTTGAGTCTGTGGATAGTGCGTTGGGCACAGACCTCAGTGTATAGGCCGTGGTCGGTAATCAGAACACACACGATGCATACGGCCTTCGCAGTATTATCAGCTGGTGGTCCAAAATGCTCCACGCTGGGTGTCAGAGGTCACTATTTCGTCCCAGGCAGCGACCTCGTGCAGCCCCGTCACGCCCAAAAACTGCCACCAACCAAGCACCCAACAACTTTTTCAAGACGTCCCATTTCAACATACAGAGGAATGGCTTTCAGCACAGCATCGCCAAGTCAGCGAACGTCACAGATGACGTTTCTGCGTAATCACTCCGGATCAGGCTCCGTCCCGACGCGTGCGGCCGCGGCTCGGCAGACATTCACCGACCTCCTAATTGCGGCCGCCTGGTTCGCCGCGACCCCGGCCATAATGCATCACTGCAGCCGGCGGAGCCCGGCTTAATCCGCGCCGCCGGCGACTGTCGCGCGTCGGATTCTATTACACATGCCAGCGCGCCGCCCGAGGGACCGCGTGAGGCCCCTACAGTCTTGGACTCGACGGAGCGCGCTTCGCGCGGTGAGCCGCCCGCGGTGAGAGGCGCGGTGGATGTCGAGGGGCAATCGGCACTCACCGCGAAATGGCGTTCAACGAATCGCCCGTCCGCTCCCACTGTATGCTCACTGCCTCCCCCCCCCCCATCCCTTCACCCTCACCCCTCACGCTTAAGCGGCTGAGAAAAACTAGCAGCCACAGATAAACAGCCCACCTCGGGAGAGAAGCAGCGGCCACTGCCAGAACAGGCACCGTTCCTCTTCGCCGCAGATCTGAGGAGCACCATCGCGAGACCCAGGCGTTCGTGAAGCCGCCCCCTACCGCTGTCGCACTCACCGGCGTATCCCAGCGGGCAGACACACGCGTAGCCGCCCCCTACCGCTGTCGCACTCACCGGCATATCCCAGCGGGCAAACGCACGTGTAGCCGCCTTCGCGTCGGCGACACGTGCCGCCGTTCTGGCACGGCTGGCTGTAGCACAGGTTCACTTCGGCGTCGCACTCGTAGAACTCGCGCATCCCTGGGGAGCAAGGGCGCGCCGGAGCCGTCAACAGGTGCGAGCGGACGAAGGCGCCGGAGCAGACGCCAGCGTGTTGGACACACGGGGGTTTATGGTGGCGCTGTGTTCGCAGCTATACGTTCAGCAGCCACGCTGTCAGCCGGAGACGCGGTTTGGAGCGCCGCTCGCGTGTGCTGCCAGTTTCACAACTCTTTCATCGACACTTCGGCAACAAAAACACGCTCGACTATTCCGGCGTTAAAAGAACGACGCAGGCTTAATGAGTGGCAGACATGTTTTGGGATTTCAAATAAGCAGGGAAAGGCCTTGAGCCGCAGGTTTTTCGGCAGTATGAGTTCAGAGTTGTTATATCAACGGTTGTCGACCCGTATTATGCCAGGAGGTTGTGATCAAGCGAAATTACCTAGCAAACATTGGTTACATTGCCAATACTCGACGTTTCAAGCTGTGTTATGATTACGGCTAAACAAGGTTAAGAAAACAATTACATTTTGAAACATACACACATAAATCCAGAAAATTTCACGGATTCTAATACAGACACTGACGCACAAATGTGTCAAAAGCATAAACCGTCCGAGCTGCCATAACCTGACACCCGATCCGCGGGTCCACGCCAAGGGCTGCCGGAGCACAGGTGGCTAAGTCGGAAGATTACCAGGAACCATGCCGAGCAATAGGCTGTAAAATTGCTCATTACGAACGTCAGGCAAACACTGACGCCCGCGTCTTGATGCTGGCCAGTGCAGCCAGTAAATTATGATGTTCGTGGAAGTAATTAGCTGCCCTAGTGCTCGGCATGGGTCATCGCACCCTTCCAGCCTGGCCGGTCCAGTTTCGTGCAGCGCTTGGGGTACAGGACCGTGTATCGTGTCTGGGATGTTCGAGTTTTGTTTTATGATGTATGGCTTTATAACGTCGAGTATTGACAATATGACCCACGCTTGATTGATAACGTCGCTCAACCTGTGCCTGCTGATATAATGATGGTTGACGACCGACTTCATAAGAACTCTGAGCTCATAATGTTTTTTGATTGTTCAGTACGCAGACAAAAACAAAAATGTCTGAGCCTCGCGGCCATGTTTGATATCTACCTGGAAAAACATTTCAAGCAAAATTATGATAGCATATCATTATTTATCACCTAGCATGATTGCGCGAGAATAAATATAAAATCGAAATAGAAGATTCCCAAAATGCAATTGAGAATGGAACGGCCGAAGTTCGGCATGTTACAAATGGCCTGTGTTATTGGTGCATCGACACTCCCGGAGCATGTGTGCTAATCTTTTGTGTGTACCAGTGCTTGCGCTTGCACAGAACTGAGCTTTCTACAGAAACGCGGTAAAGAGCCATGAGCCAAACGTTGAACACCTAGAAATCATCGGTGCGTGAATAACGTGCAATACAGCGGCCAGTCGCAGCGGTCAGCTTAATGACGTGTTACGAGATCCACAGCGATGCACGGCCACGGTATCAGTCATCTTGACATGGGCGGGCATTGGCGGACCGGTGGCAAAAACCGGTCCCTATCACCGCCCAATCACCAGATCAATCATGCCGCCCAATCAGCGTGGCAGGAGTGCAACGCTGCGCGGCAGGCCGCCGGACTGGCCGGCGTGCGCAGTCGGGACCGCCGCGTTCAGAACTAGGGATCAAACGACACGGCGACGGCGTATGGGGTTGCCTCGGAGAGCTTATCACTCTCCAAAGCAGCTGTTCTCGATTGGACAGGTTCAATGACAGCGCGATTAGGCTCATATGATGACTGGAACACGAGAATGGTGAGAAAATCTCACCGGGGGGAGATTCGTCCAAATTCCCGTACATATTTTCGCCACCTGGACATTGCGCAAAGCCTAAAATTGGGCTTATGGTACGCGTCATAGGTTATCGTGAGGTTAGTTTTTCAAGAATACCGCCAGGACAGCGCGGATGAACCCCGCAGTGAACACCGGACAACACACGGCGTCGTCAGCAAACGACACGACGGCACGACGCCGCGTCGGCGGCTAACCAGCTGGAGCACCAGCGCCGTGCGGGAGCCCTCAAACGACGGCGTAGGATGGCGGCCGGCAATATTTCACAGTCGGGCCTTTGGTGGGCGGACAGAACCGCTGCGTTGTTTTGTGAGATCACGAGTCAACAGCCTCGCCATGCACCAGTTGCCACACGGGGACGCCACACCGTTTGTCACGCCGTTTCTCCGGGAGAAACGGCCGTTATGCCACGCTGGGCCGAACGGCGCGCTGACGAAGTCAACCATTGACGGCTGGACGATTTTTGCCGTGACCAGTCTGCAGCAAGCCGTTACTGCAGTTTTTTAGGTTGGCCTAATCTATTGGCATCAAGGCGGTCAGAAGAAAACGGATATTACGTGACTGGCAAGGGCTTAGTACGTTATATCCAAGTTGGCAGCATACTTATATGCAACAAAAAGAGGCATCAAAAATGCAATAGCGCTTGCGTTATATTTGAGGAGCTAATCGCACTGTCATATGCTGGTAGTAAGCCCCATCTACCCACTCAGAGCATCAGAGCCTTCCTCCACGACTGTAAAATCGTGTGTGGTGGCAGTGACTACACATGACCCCCATCTACACTCCACCGCACCGCTTCGTCTTCTTTCGGCTCTCTCTGCGTAAGCGACAACCAAAGGCCTATACATTCGGCCACTGCGTCACTTCACTTTCGCCTGCGCTCACTCTCCGCACCCGAGATCTCGTCCGCCGAGGCCGGGCGAGAGCGGGCGGGATGCTTGTTGCTCGTGTTATGTGAGGCGGCGTGGGTGGAGGACGAGCCACCCTGGCCGAGCCGAGAGCCCCGGCCAGGCGCCGGCTGTCTCCATCGATCAGTGCTCATTAGTCTCTGCTGAAAGCCGATCCCGCGCTGGCTTCGACGGTGGCCTTCGGATAATCTCGACGCCCAGCGCCCGTCCACAGTCAGTTCTCGGGCCAGGCGCTGAAGGCGTGACTGATTCCACGATTCCGCTGCTTTTTCGCAGGTCTGTGATCCAGACGACGGGCGGGACGCATCAACTCTGTTCAGATCGTGGATGTAAACTGCGCATCCCTTCCGACGGACGCGATGGCTGCGCGCTTAGCCCGACAGTAAATGCTACCTGATCCCCTAATCTCGACGTAAAACGCCGGTTGACTCTCTTACCTCTACGACCGTGATCGCCAGCTCCCGGCGCCGGGGGCTCCTCGGTTGAGTCCACCCGAGCCACAGACCCTCCGTGCCGCCCTCGCCGACACGTGGCGGCCACCGCCGAGAGCCATTACTCACCGGCGAATCCCGCCGGGCAGCGGCAGGCGAAGGTGCTGACGGGGTAGATGGGCCGGAAGAGGATGCTCTGGCTGTGGATGAAGCCAGTGGCGTTGCCGAACTTGAGCACCGTCAGACACTTGTCGAAGTTGAGGCACGGCTCGCGCACGCAGAGGTTGTCGTCGAACGGCAGCACCTGCGGGGCGGCGTGTTCCGTTAGGCTCGGTGGTGAAGGTCGGCCGTCAGGTCACATCAAGGGTCAGGTCAAGCTGTGCCAGGCCGCGAACAGGAAGGGCGCACCCCAGCGTGCGCGACCCTGGGATGTCTATCAACGTGATGCGATAGCACACAGCGGGCTGAAAATCTGCATTCAAGGTCCCTGCTCATTTCCGAACTTTTTGCGATCCATTTGAACAGAGCGTCGACAGAAAGGTGACGTAAAAACTTTGCGCAAAAAACGACGAAATGTGTGCCCGGGCAGACAGTGTGGAAATGAATTTTCGAACGAACTCCTCGGCCGGCAATATTGCGCCTTCAGGTCTGCAGGCGACACATCATAGAAACACGCTGCGCGCGACACACACGAAGCACTCACTCGGATCGAGACACATTCAGCCTGCGACAAAACAGTTTGCGGCAGATACGCCGCACCTCGAGTTTTCCAATATCTCCCGCGCTGCCACCGGCAGGCGCGGAACGTCAGGCCATTGTCAGGCTTATGAATAACGCCCGACGCCCCGCACATCACCTCCGCCGAGAAAAACTGTCCTCGTTCACAACATGGTGCTAAATGGTGTCCCGGACAGGACCGGGGCGACCGTCAGCACGACAGCGTTCGACGAGGGCAGTGCAATGAAGGAGGTCTCGCAAAGCGGCCGTCAAACCAATGCCAGAAACCCCGAAGCATCAATGAGAGGGAGAGCACTAGGTTAGAAATTTGGATGGTGGTGCATGTGTAGGTACGGAGTAGTGTGCATTGCTACAATGCCGGTCACCCGAATGCGGGTCCTGTTCTTGCGCTGTCTGTCAGAATAAAACGGACAAAATGTCAAGAATAGTTTTAGCTCATTTGAACACTTCCAAACACTCTGCAGGCAACCAGCAAAATGATCGAAGAAACACGGGAGAGAGATGTCGAGTACACGCGTTTGCTCCATCTTCCACTATTTTCTACTTCCACTATTTATTTTATTTGATTCATTGTCTTCCACCCCGGTGATACGCCTCGAGGCCTGCTTCGAGTCTCCTGCTCCCCTGCAGTACGTCAACATAGCTTAAGCACCCAGCAGCAACGCAAAGCAGCCTGCGGGCCAGCTCTCGCTGGGCTGGCACCCGGACCGCCGCCCTGCCCAGCGTCAGCGCCGCTGGGGCGCTGGTCGCCATGACGACCGACCGCTGGGGCGCTGGTCGGCATGACGGGCCGGCCGCCGCCGCGCGTCACGCAGCGTGATGTCGCCGCTCGGCCCGCCGCGTGCGGCAGCGCGGCCACGGTCCGGTCCGGCGGCGGTCGACGGCCGACGGACCCAGTTTTTGTGGTCCGCCCGCGGTGGCGGCCGCGAGGAGAACGAGCGAGAGGGAGGGTGGGGAAGAGGGGAGGGGGTGGAGAAAGAGAGAGAGAGAGAGAGAGAGAGAGAAGAGAGAGAGAGAGAGAGAGAGAGAGAGAGAGAGAGAGAGAGGAGAGAGAGAGAGAGAGAGAGAGAGAGAGAGCGAGAGAGAGAGAGAGAGAGGAGAGAGAGAGAGAGAGAGAGAGAGGAGAGAGAGAGAGAGAGAGAGAGAGAGAGAGAGAGAGAGAGAGAGAGAGAGAGAGAGAGAGAGAGAGAGAGAGCACGAGAGAGAGAGAGAGAACACGGGAACATATTTTTCCATGCTGTTTGATCGGCGTGTGCGAGAATTGTTGGGTCAAAAATTACTTACAGCAATCTGATAATACCTTTTACACCAACTGTCACAAATATTGCGGTGTCGAATTAGTGTGCGTAATAGATAAGGAGCGAATAATATAGAACTGCAAGCACAGTGTCATGAAAAATTGCGCACATTTTTTATTATGATACCGTGCAAGGTTTCATGAACAGAAATATGTTGATATGGCAGAGTACTTCAGGAGCTACAATGCCCACATTCCATGCAAATTCATGGACGTAACGATCTGAAGTTCTTTAGATTGTGAAATAATAAGGCACACGAGACTATTGTGAAACAATGCGCTCCGGTGTAACGGGTATTGCAATATAGACTCATACCAAGCAATGATGCATTAATCTAAAGCTGGTCTTAAGCCCAGCCATAGAGAGAAAGACCGCATTCCAGACCCTGCTCAATGCTGCGGTTGGACTTACTCTGCATGTTTGCATTATCCGACGCTATGCTGTAGTGGCGACCATGCCACCTGGCTGTCGCGCTTTTTACTACCCAGCCCAGCAGGTTTACCAAGTAGACGCACAGACACTGAGCTGTGGATGGTAAAGGGCGCCGCCACTGCACTTACAGGCTGCGGACTTCCAGCAGCGCATTCCGCGACTGCACGCGGTCAGTCGAGCATCCGCTCCCATGCAGGGAGCATGCCACGCCCGCTGGTGCCCGACTTCGTGGAAGCCCGCCCACCATCCACCGCGGCTGCCGAGCAGCGCTGTGCTCTGCCACTCGCCGCCAGACTTTCCCGGCCGCCGCCGTCTGGCTGGCACCGAGCGCTCTCCCGGGAGCCCCATATCAGCGCCGAGCCGGGGTGTCACCGGCCGGCCCGGCCCGGTCCCGGCCCCGGGCCGCCCCGGCCCGCCGCTGCCGTCTGTTTGCCAGACCGACCGCGGTCGCATCGCAGGGCCCCCGTAAAGCGGGCCGCGAACGCCGGCTGGATGGCATCGGAGCCGATCCGGCTGGCCACATGGCACCGGAGCCGATCCGGCTGGCCACATGGCACCGGAGCCGATCCAGCTGGCCGGATGGCACCGGAGCCGATCCAGCCGGCCGGATGGCACCGGAGCCGATCCAGCTGGTGGCACGGCACCGGAGCCGATCCAGCCGGCCGCACGGCACCGGAGCCGATCCGGCTGGCCGGATGGCATGCCGGTGTAATCTGGAGCGCCAGTTGGCCGGGAGATGACTGCCAGCGGCTGGGCACTGAGAGGACGACGCGAGGCGTTCCGAGCGCCAGCACACCTTCAGCATCCATCGGGCGGACGTAATGGGGACAGCCTATCGCCATCAGATGCGGCAGGACTGGAGGCCGGCCGACACGGGCGCTGACCATGCGCGTGATTGTCCACACGCTCAGCAAACGGCCTCGTGCACTCACACACAGCTCTGGCACCTGTGGTCCCATGCACAGACACCACGGCTATGGCACAACCTTAATCACCGGTCGAGGTCACGCAAAAGTTGGATCCATTAACGACTACATACACCAAACATATAGGCCGCGCAAACCGTATCATTCACACAAACACATACTCCAGCAAGCAGGTGCATGGTCGGACGCATACAGACCGGCAGGGACAGACAACATAGCGACGCCGTAGGCTGACCTGAACGGCGGCCAGCTTAGCCAGCACGGCCCTGTTGAGGTAGACGCGCTCCTGGATGTGCTGCTGGCTGATGAAGCCGCCGCCGCCATCGGACGCCAGCGCCGAGAAGCTGACGTTCAAGATGCGCTCCTTCACCTCGGTGTCGTCCTGCGCAACAGTCACAGACGCGGGGTCATCGACGTGGGGACGTGTTCTACAGCTCAGTACGCGTTTGAGTCTACAATTGCCAGGCAGTCTCGACGCGGAAGCATGTGATCTGTTATCATGTTGCGGAATGCGGCACTCGCAGTGGCAGCGCAGTATCGGCCATCATTTCTGAAGGTGATAAATGTCCTCATTCAGAAAGCCGATGACACCATAGCATGGGCGACGTGTTCATTTTGTAGCTGGGGTTCACTGGGGAGTAGTCAATACGGAACTCCGAGCACAGCCTTCACAGAGCCGGCCCAAGCGATGACGGCAGCTGCGATGCAAGCAGCTATAGGCTGGTGACCCAGTCAGCCAGGGACAATCAGCATTGGTGGGAACAGGTTAAGCCCCAGAAAAAATTTGCCATGACGCTACCCCAAGCGGCGGTATTGGCACAGAACCGAAGAGAATCTGACCGGTTTACAACACAACTTGGCTGGCCGTAACGGCGAGTGGTTTGGTACCGGTTCGGGAGGCGAGACCGAGTGGCCCACCGGCGGAGCAGCCCGACTGCCAACTAGACTCGAAGCTCCGCGAGGCACAGTCTCAGCCTCGGAAGCCGAAGCATGCGACACCGAGGGATGCTGCTGTAATTTAGCTCAACCGGACAGGCTGCCTGGCGTCTGGGTGGGACATCAGCTTTCCGCAGGCTCTCCTTCTTAGGATGACAGAAGCCCACTGGCCGGACTGAACGCCGCCGACTTGTGCACTGGACACACGTGCCTTCCGCTCTAATGCTGTCTTGCTCCAAGCGCCAGCAATAAACGCGAGCTGCTGTAGTCATTGAGTTGAATCGTGCAAGACGATGCCCAGCGGATGAACTTCGAGTGGGATTGAAATAGAGGAAAACACTCTACCATATCAGTATACCATCTCGGGAGTCCGTTATTACACAAGATATGCAAGCCTTAAAACGAGCGCGATTGAGCGAAATCATGGCTATCCCACGAAACATCCTCACCCCTGCTGTTGCACGGTCCGACAACTAGCGGCCATACACTAATTGCAAACAATATGCTGCACATATAATGGGAGCTCTGCCGAACGCAGCACAAGACTGGCAGCGGTTCGTCTGGGAATGGTCGTCCACAATAAGTGTATCCAAATCCCCTGGAGACCCGAATTTATTCCATAACGCCGCGTTGGTTCGTCTGTACTGACCAACCCATGATCTGCACGCACCTGCACGTTGAAGACGACGATCTGCTCCTTGTGCACGGACAGAACGGCCGACAGTCCGTCCTTGAATAGGGAGAAGATCTGCGGGCTGAGGAAGGCCTGCGACGTCATCTCGCCCAACCGGAGGGTGACCGAGTTGAAGAGCATGTCGTCCGTTACCAAGCGCACCTGCAGCTCCAGCTCCGCCGACACCTCGTTCAGGCCGTCTGCCGGAAGATCACCAGGCAGTGAGTGACATGGCCAGAGACAAGCACGGCGATGGAACTGGTGTACAGTGAAGCGCCAATCGCAGCAGCACGTTCATGCAATCTGTACTAGGCTTGGCTAGAATTGGCGCACGTTCTGGAATGCATCAGGCAATTTACATAATTGAACACAGAAGTAGCAATTGGGTCGTGTTCAACGATTAGGATAACACGGACATTACGGCGCGGAAGGCTCTGCAGCTGCAGCGCGCCATTGTATCCACAGCGGGGAAGTTGCATGCCAACAAGACATCGTCACACGTCGCGTCACCGGGCGAGATACCAACAGCTGCAGAGTCAAATTGGTTTCCGCAGCTGTGGTCTCAATAGCGGCCGGAAAGGGGGCGTTTTGGTCGCAAGATGGCTAACTGGCACGGCTCCGTGAAAAGCCTTGCAGTCAAAGTGAAGACACAGAGGACCGGGAGTAAAGTGTATATAGCACAATGGCACACAAATGACAATGCGCATGTTTGAATCATTCTTAAAGCACCAGGTCGCTGGCTCTTTTCGCCGTGCCTCCGACGTAGCTTCATTCAACGCAATGTCAAACTTGTCACCCACCGTGTGACCAATGCAACTACTCTGTCTGGGGTGAAATGGTGGGTGAAGAGTATAAAGGCTATGGGGAGAGATATCTTGAAATAAAACCATAACCTTGCCTGTTCCAGTCAGATACAAGTCATCAGTTGGTGTGGCACCTCACAAAACCTTGCTGTACACATGGCCCACTTCTCATGCACCTGGACTGTACCCTCGATGCCTAAACCGCACCACAATCTGATATAATCAATCTCAAACATAATGCGATATAAGACATCCGGGCAGTCAGTGATGGGCATCAAAACACCCCAACGCTCCACCGCTCCGTGCTCGACCACTACTAGGAACGTCTGCATCCAGTTTCTCGTCGGCGGTGGACGTATGATCCAGACGCCATCAGTTTTCCCCGGGAGGTAACAATATTATGAAAGTTTCCTCTTTATGACGTCTCTTCGCAAAGTTGGGGTAACTTTGTTGATCCGGGACGGAGGTCGGGAGCGCCGGTGGCGCCGCCCCGCTGCGGCTCTGCTGAGAGTAGTGCCGTCGGCCGCAGCCGACAGCCCATCATCCCCTGGGTGTGCTCACGAGCCGCTGTAGCCGAATCAGTCGCCCGCACCCCCTCCTGCCCTCAGCACACGCAGCAGCTGCCTACACTGCTGTGGGCAGTCGGTGGACACCAACCCTGCCTACAGCAGACGCAGCAACTGCCTACACCGCTGTGGGCAATCGGTGGACACCAACCCTGCCCACAGCAGACGCAGGAGCTACCCGCACTCAAGCGAGCGCGCGTCGTCGTACGTTTACGCGTCATCCCCGGTCCACCAGTCCCGGCCGCTCGGCGCTGGCCGCCAGCGGGTCACTGACCTCCACCAGCGGGCGGCGGCACGACGGGTGTGGGGCCTTGACGAGTGTGTGGGCTCTGGCGGCCGGACTGGTGCAGCGGCACCGCTGCCCGCCGGTGACATTGGCGGCGCAGGTGACTTTGACGTGCTTAGGATGCTTAAGTCCACCGAAATCCCTTGCATCGCCCAGCCCAACTCTCCTTCCAGTTTCCACACACAGTCGTTTTGACGTTGTACTCTCGCACCTCTACCCCTCCCCCTCCCTCCGTCCCTCTCCCGAAGGCCCGAAAAACTCGTGACAAACGCGGCGCGGCGGAGGCGGAACGGGCGCGTCTCCGGCCGGCGCCGGTGAGAGGCGAGCGGGCGCCGGACGCTGGGAGAAAGTCGGCCGCTCGGGGCCGCCCCCGCTCCGGAAACGGCTCGCAGTAGCCGCCAGCGGGCGTCGGACGACCGCCGAGCTTCCGCTGGCCCGGCAGGTGACGGCGAGAAGGTGCCAGTGCGTCACAGGCGGCGCGCCGTCGGCTTCATGAGCAGGGAACGCCGCAAAGGCCCCCCGGTGGGCGCGACAGGCAAGCTGCAATCTCGTCCTCACGTTCGCTTACAAAGAACGCCGAGCTGTACTGACTGAGATCGTGACACGGCGCCGAGAAAGATCGCGGCGTGTCGCACTGTTTCGCAGAACACACTGCCGAGTCACAGGGGGAATCTCTGAGTCACGACTCATATGCGAGTGGAACGGGTTACAAGCGGAGAAATGGCGCAGGTCTGGGTGGCAAAGGCTGTAAGGCCTGCAGATTTTCTTTTCAACAATTGCCCGGGCAACTATGACTATGCCCACAGACCTAACTTGATTCACGTCGTTTGCGCTGGCGCACTATTTTTTAACGATGCTCTCCATTGCAGTCTTGAGAGGAAGATTCCCTTCACTTCTTTCACTCAGAATCCCCGGGAAAGATTTCGTCGGTCAGTGCACATTGCGTGGCGGCCGAAGTGAACTCCACGTCAGCAGAAACATGGCTCCTGCGGTCCGACGGCGAACGCTGGCCGCCCGTCAACACGCCACACCTGGTGTATCGCCTCGGGGCACATTCCGAGCCCGGCCGACTGAGGGTTTCGCTCGTCGACAGGCAGGGTGCGATGCTGGAGCAGCAGCGGCCGCCGACCCTGGAGCGTCACGCGACGGACGCTGTAGATGATGTGGAGGATTATTTTGAGGGCATTCGAGAGTCCGGGCACTCAGGATCTCATCAGACTTCAAATGTTCGTCAGCGGCCGGATCATTTCGGGTCAATTTGAATACGAAAAGCATGTGGTGTCAAGACTTCGCCCACTTTCCCGGCCAAGCGATATCAAACAGCTTATAATACACTAATAGCCTGTTGACTAGTCTGTGATTGCCCAGTCAGCTGCAGAAATTCCCTCCAGGTGTGAGCGATGCCCTCCAGTGATTTTCTAATTTCCAGTCGCCGAAAATGCCGCGCGTTGTCGGCCACTGGCCGCCTCGACTCCAACAGAGCCTCCGCTGGGCGCCAGAAATAGCCGAGCACGCCGCAGCGACATCAGGCGACCGAATTTAATTAAACCGCTACTGAGCCCGCTGGAGAAAATCTGACGCAAAGTTGACGTCCATAAGTGCTGGCCGGGGCGGCGCCCGCGTCTGCGGGGCGCGGGAAGCTTCGCCACAGCGCCCGGCGCCCCGGAGCGGCCGCCGACACATCCCCCGCCCGCAGCCGCCGCGGCATGTCCGGTCTGGGCGGCTGCCTTGAGGTCCAGGGCGGACGCGTCCCGAGTTCAAACTGCAGAGGCACGTCCGCGGGAGCGTCAGCATGCCTCGCCATGTTACGGCAGTTGAGTGTGCAGGCGGGCTGAGGGCTGATATCAGACTCCTTTTAGTAGGTATACCACGTTTTTGTCCACGCTAAATCGTGTTCTCCCTCACGTAAGCGGCCGTATATTCCGGCAGATGGAGCGGCTATCTTCCCCACAGCAGGCCATGTTCCCTTCCATACCGGATGGCGCCTCCTGTATCATGTCATGTCATCTCCCATATCGCGCTACCTCCTACGGACGCTGAGCCGCGTTCTCTCGCTATCAGCCCATACTCCTCCGCATCGCCTGCCGTGTCCGCTCCCACGCCGGCCGTTTCCTCTCCTCCATATACGGTCATGTTATCGTCGATTGAGTGACGTCGGCGGCGGCTTCCCGCCGAGTTCACTGGCTCCTCATGCCTCCCTCCCGCGCGGACGGCAGCCCGCCACCGAGTCCGCCCTCTCTCCTGCCGTCCTCCCGTGCGGACGGAACCCCGTCACCGAGTCCGCGCTCTCTCGTGCCGTCCTCCCGCGCGGGCGGCACCCCGTCACTGAGTCCGCCCTCTCTCCTGCTGTCCTCCCGGGCGAACGACGGCCCGCCACCGAGTCCGCGCTCTCTCCAGCCGTCCTCGCGGGCGGACGGCAGCCCGCCACCGAGCTCGCCATCTTCCTGCCGTCCTCCCGGGCGGACGACGGACGGCCCGCCACCAGGCCCGCCCGTTCTCCTGCCGTCCTTCCTGGCGGACGGCGGCCCGCCCTCTCTCCGCCGTCCTCCCGGGTGGGCGCCTGGCCGCTATTGACCAGCGGTGTTCCATTACGCCACCAATTCCGGCCATCATAGGCCATACACGCCGGGCAGTTTGTCAATTGGCGCGGACAATGATACGACGCCTGTGGTGATCACGACTACTGACCGGCGCTGCGCGGCGCTCGATACGCGTCAATGGCTTATTACCCGGCACATGAGCACGCTGGCGCGCATAGCGCAATTTGGTGCGTCTGTGATGCTACCATCGCGCGATCATTACCCGGCCGAGGTACGCGTAAAGCGACAACAGCACAACAAACGCGCTAATTTTTCGGAGCGGCGACCAAAGCAAGACTTCTAAGCCACTACCGACACATTTCCGTACATGCAGCGCCCTCAGTGCGGTCTTGCCCGGTCGCGCTCCACTCTCTCAGCGGCGGCCACGGGCCGGGCCGGCGTGGGGCCGCGTTCGTGACTGGCGCCGCGTCGCCTCAGCTGGAGGCAGCACGGCCGCCGCGCTGGGGCGTGGCCGCTCACCGGGGCCCGCACACGCGCCGCCGTGACGTCACGGCGCCGCTCGCGTGACGTCACGGCGGCGGCGCCGCGCGCCGATCGTGTGTGTTTGTTGCGACAATGGAGCGATAAATTCGCGAGTGGCGGCGGTGTTCGGCGGCGCTGGAGTGGGCCGACGCAGATGGAGTGGCGGCTGGCCCGTGTCCGCCCCGTGACCGCCGGCCGGCGGTCCGACAAACGCAGGGCGCGGCCGGCCGGGCGGCCCTCCGCCGACAGAGACAAAGCGGCCTCTCAGAACGGCCGACGGTCAACACGGCGGCCGCCGCATCGGCCGCGCACGCAGCATGTACTGACCGGCGATCGATGCATCGACCGGGGCGCGGTCGGTCGCGGTCACTTGCAGTCGGCCGTCCGTGGCGGTTTATTTGTGCGCGGCGAACTGCCAGGGCGGTGGTCGACCGGAGCCGGACGACGAGATGGCGCCAGGACAACACCATACAGTCGAACAAC